TAAATAAATTTTTATGTCTAACAAAAATATTGATTTCTTTAACATGCATTTAAATTCTCTTCCAATTTTAAAAAATAAAAACATTTTTTTCTTGGGTAAAAGTAATATTATAAAATAGATAACCAAAAACAAATGGACCAACTACTTATTTGCATGATCGGCTGGTTGTCTAGATAGCAGAGCTCAAATATTTTTTTTTTATTCAACATTAAAAAGCTATCAACTCCATAGAATACAATATATTTTAGAGGTGAATCACTATTGCATTATTTGTTTTAAACGAAATTATTGAGCATAACTTGATTAAAAAAAACCGATATCTTGAGAAAATTTGTAAAATATTAAGCCAATTATAACATGGACAAGGACAAGTGTAAATGACACACAATATCAGGATGTTTGTCTATATATATTTCATAAATTGCACGATTGTATCTAGGAATTGGAACACCCGTGTGCCACACCTACTAATTACATTAAAACTAATTTACAGAAGCATTTGCTTGATTAAACCACAAACCTATCTGAAATCATTTTGAAAGCACATATGGTTTATGATACACAATTTGCCGAGCAGGGGTGTTCTTTTGTTAAACTCATAACAACCTTGAAGTATTTGAGATAATGTAGGATCAGTAGGGCATAAATTACATGGGGTTGTTCTGTTAAAGCCTCTAGGATCTTATGGTGAAAAGGGGTTGCTTAATTATATGGTTTGTTTTGGGCTTCTGTTTTTGTATTGCCTTGCTTTTTACTTTCATCCATCTGATCATTGAATTTGACACTAGTCTATCATTATTGAAAACAATAAATAAGATGCATATTTTATTGTATAGAAATTGAAAATTTTATACCAACAATAGCTGCCTAATTGGTGTCGATTACACTGTAGCATAGTCACAGGGAATATACAGATCAAAGGAAAATCAATTCGTGTCTGAAAAAATATTCTACAAGTAACCATCTCTTCTGTCTTGATCCTCAGCTTCCTTATTAGCAACTTCGACAGATTTGAACCAAAGGAATGCCTGTTTCGAGCAATTAGACAGAGATTCTTGTAAGTGGGAGTTCATATTTATGCAATGGCATTGCCATTCTTCTCAATGTCACTAAGCAGTTAGCACAGAATATGGTGTCTAATGTGCAACGTTTCTAGCTCGGAGTTGATACAACTCAGAGAAGATGAATACAAACGTTGATGTTTTATTTTCAATTTCATGGCATGATGAATGGAAAAAAAAAAGGGAGGAATAGATATGATAATCCATTCACGAATATCAAAAAATGGAGACAGAGGAACTTACAGAAGTGGGAATGCCAGTAAATGCAAAAAATCCAAGCAATGGAGCGTAAAATATGCTGTCTGAATTTATAATTCCAAACACAGGCTTCTGGTTGACGTACTCAAATATAGAACCTATCTGCAGTGTTGGAGGTCAGTTCCAACAGACATACAAACGGCTTCAATCAGTATTCATAACCCCAAAATCTATAATACGGATATCATCGTTGCTGAAGAAATAAATTAATTACATACACTCGCCCTCCAACCCTTCAAATTTTACTGCATTCTTCGAAATCTGAAAAAATACGCAGTAGAGGATACAGACAGGAAGAACTGGAGATATTTGTCAAACAAATGGTGGCCGTATTGTTTTCAAAATACAACGTTACAAGTTAAAGTTCTTACGATATTGTTTTCTCCTTGTTTAATATATACAATTATATTAACTCGAGGTAATAATGTCGTTCACTTCTATAAAAATCTGAGCAAACTGGAAGTCATGTAGCAGCTATAGAATAAAAATAAACATCCAAAATGCCGTAAAGAAGTATGTAAAGAGAGGGAAGCTTACAGCGGCAATTGCAGTGATAGATGAAGCAAGTAGGTAAACGTAGAATGGGAGCTGAAATCCCTGTTGGGATCCATTTTCCTTGCTTTCTTCCCTTGCCCAAGGAGGAGGCTCCTCCGAATCAGGTTTAGCCCAAGAAGGGATCGTTTCTTCGGACTCGCTCGATTTTGCAGATCCTTCGTTAACGGCAAACACAGTAAACTTGTGATAGCCATTGTTTCTCCTTCCAATCGGCCGTACACGCCCTAATGGAATCCGTTTCGTATCCATCCTCCCATAATTACAAGCTAAACTTGGATTGCAGTAAGACAACACTGTCGCAGACATTACTGCCAAATCTTCGTCCGATCTCTTCAGTTTTCTTCCTCAATCGACTGGGTGCAGCGGATAACCAAAAATCGCGTAAAATCAGTCAGCTTCTTGAAAAATGCAATTTCACATAGAAAATTCACACTCCACATGAAACGCGTAGCTAACAGGATGGTCGCAATTCTAGGAGCAGTTAAATTTCAAAAATTGAACCTCGTTTCCACAGCAATCAGCAATATACACGACGAAATGTCGAAGAAGTAAAAGGAAAGAAAGAAAAAATAAAGAGTGGAGGAGGCATACTGGCGTGGGAGGAGGGAGAAGATTAGCTGAGGGATCCCTGCGAGGCTGCGAGCGCGGAATGGGGCTTGGAGGGAGATAACACTCGGGATAAATGAATGACATAGAATTAAAATTAATGAATTTTAAAAATAAAAATATACCATTATTTTGCTTCACCATGTGTTTCAATTTCCAACCAATGGCAGTGCACAATTTTGCCATTTTTTCTTTAAATTTAGTTTTTTATATCAAATATATGAAATTGAGTGCGAATATTTTTTAATTTTTTTTTTTAAGTAATCACATAACCCTTCCGTAAATAAATATTTTTTATTTAAAGATCCATTATCTGTATTCCATATTTACATAGAAAAATAAAAATTAGTTGCAGTTTTTATCGAAAAAATTAATAATCAAAATATATAAATTGATATCAATGTATATATCAACGTATTTAAAAATATATTTATACAAATTTATGTCCAAAATTGATACATTCTTCCTGTCCGATGAAGTTGATCATTAGTCTACCAACCTCCAGCAACCTTCATTAAACACAAAGGAGAGATGGAGTAGGTACAGGTCCCCTCTCTCCTTCGTTCCCTCTTCATGGTTAACAAATCGTTGGAGATTGGAGAATGAAGAATAAGGACCTGAAAAGATGAAGATAGTTGGAGAAAAAATAAATAAAGAAAAGTTAAATATTATCAAATTAATATATTTCACAAATCGGCAAAATACAATCAGTGTCGCGTCATTTTAACTATCAATCAACCAAAGGTAGTTATGGGCCTATTTAGAACAATTTATCAAAATTTGGACCTAGACACGTGCTCTAAAGTTGAAACTCTAAGAGACCGAAATAACACTTTTTCCTGAAAAAGGGAGTACCTGGGTGGGGGCATTTATGTCAATTCACACTTTGTGTACTCTCAGTCACCGGCGTAACCGGTGAAGGATTGAGATTCGTGGTGAACCAGTGTAAAGCCGAAGCCCCAGCACCGTCAAAATTCTGTCCCCTCGCTTTCGCTGTACCTGAAACGGAGACAGTAGTCGCTTCTTCCACGCAGTTTTCTCAATGGATACGCACTCCGCTCACCTCACTGGTACGAATCGTTC